GCTATCTAGGTTTGCCATAGCTTTCCTCCCAAGGAGCAAGCGTCTTTTAATTTCATGGCTGCAGTCTCTATCTGCGGTGATCTTGGAGCCCAAGATCCAAATAAATGAAGTCTGTTACTGCTTCCATTTCTACCCCTTCTATTTGCCAGGATATGACTTATATACCTCTCTTTAACACATAATTTCTCCTTCCCCCAAATATATGAAGGAGTAATGGTTATATATAAGGTTTGGACAATTCTTTGAAAATAATAACAGGTTTAAAACAACTCTGGAACAAATAGGGATATTATTAAAGGACATATAAAGCACATAAAGTGCCAACTACTTTCAAACAGCCTTTTTGTTAGACTTAAATGTATAAATAAGACATACTTTTAAAATTCAGGTAACAAAATGTGTTGTCATTTGTCTCCAAGGCCACATATCTATCTTTTAGCTTTCTGTACAAGGGCACTCCCTTGTTTTATCTATAAACTTTGTTTAGTTAGAAGACTAAAATAAGTTAGTCCTGTATGACAGACTGTTGAATTTGATGGCTAGAAACATTATGGCAATATCTAACCCCTTAATACTTGTATTCAATAGGCTCTAAGTTCTGAATTGGCCCAAGCCAGAGATGAAAGTAAGAAAACCCAGAATGATGTCCTTCATGCTGAGAATGTTAAAGCAGGCCGTGATAAGTACAAGACTCTTCGACAGATCCGGCAAGGCAATACAAAGCAGCGGATTGATGAGTTTGAAGCAATGTGAGAGCCATTTCTTTGCATGTATGTTCTTCATTAAAGTTGAACCACCAGCAGAGAAATACAGGCCTTTCCACAGGTGAAAGGATCACACCTCACCTTGCCAAAGCACTTATACCAGTTTGTGGTTAAAACATATTTCATAAAAATTGTTCAACAATAAGGCAGTCTATCAGCTGTGGCTCTCTGGAGGTGATTGATGAGGTTTCCATGATTTTATATTGCATATTTTATTTTCATGCTTCAGGACAACTCTGAAGGAACAGCAGTCTCATGGTAGCAAAGCTGTTAATTCAAATACTGATAATTTACTTTACCTTACAGCTGACTCCAGTTTTGGCGTTTGTGCACTTTGGCTTGTTTGTTTTCATTTAGCAAATTGGTGAGGATTTTGATATTGCTAAATTTGTAACACCTTTTTAAGGGCTTCTCTTTGTAGGTTAGAATTCTTTGGTGTTTCATGTCCTGTCATCATTGATGGTTTTCTTTGCCTGCCTGTTCACAAAGGTCTAGATGGCAGGTGGCTGTTTCAAGCACTTTTTTCATTCATATATATGTATATATGAACATTACCTGTAGACTTTTGCTTGTTAAATCTATTATACCAAAGTTTTTAGTTTTTCAAATAAAAACAGGGAAAAATTCTTTAGTTTGTCCTTCCCTTGCATTCATTGGATGTTATTACAAATTGTAGTGTGGGAAACCTGGACTTTTCTGACAAGGGAGCATATGAAAACATCAGTCCCAAGGAGGGGACAGAATCCTACCTCACTGTAATAAACATGATGACTGGTCCTTGAAACACCACAATGAAATGCTAACAGTGTTAAGCTATGTTCTGCATAGCTAAACACTACATGAATCTAGGAGCCTTTATTCTTTAATATTTTGTTATATTACAGATAGATTTATAGTATTCAAGGAGTGTTCAGCTGCCTTTTTGTCAAGTTAAATTTTGAATCATGTATTTTTTAATTTTAACCTGTCACTGGTATACTATCCAATAAGAGGTGTGAAATGTTTGGTTATGTTTTCTGAATACCTTTGTACTAAATTAACATTGTTGCAAAAATCATTTAATGAAGTCAGTGCATAAAACAATGCTCTCTTGTGCTCAGTTCTAGGGCCCATTTGCACATTCTTCCTGTTCCTTCCATGTTAATTCTGAGACATATCTATGTTTTGTGTTTTCAGAGAATGTAGTCACAGGAATTGTGGCAGAATGAGGGCAAATGAGGTATGAGCAAATCTTTAGACTGAAGTTCAACATGCAGTCAAAGAATATTGAATGTATGTTTGGAATCAATATGAATCACTCTTACCTATGGAATGGCTAATTAAAATTGGCACCTTGGGTTTGAATACCATATTTATGGAAGTGACACTGAAAATTACATACCATGTTTAGTGAACTTTAACAGTTGGGAGAAAGAAGTCCTGCTTTCTCTGAGGATGGTTCAGCTATGTTATGTTTGGTATTATGCACTCAACTTTATACTTATCTATGAAAATTGCCATTTTATTAACCATTCATGCACAAATTCCTTAGAAACCCTGCTGAAGATTAGGTCCCCCCCCCCCTTGAATCTAAGAGAGGGCATCGTGAAACATACATACACCCATTAGTTTCTGGAAGAATGATAGCTGAGCAATTTTGCACAGACTGGTGTGCAAATGTGCATGTGCTCAAAACTCTGGTTGCCCTGGGTACTTCTGCTTCCAACTGCAGGATTGGGCAAATGCCTTGCATCATTTCATGCAGTGAATTCCAAGACATGAATTTCTAAAGTGTTCAAAAATTTTGCCATAACAGGTGGATTGTTGTGTATGATTCTTCCCTGAAATAGGTACACATGAATTGCCATGTTAATCTATTAGCATGGAAGAAGGGGAAAGAGAAGTACCAGTGAAATTTGCTGTTCATAATCTACAGTGTATAGTTTAGTATTTAAATGGATCTAATCAATTTATAAAACTGTGAATATTTTTCTAGGAATTGACATCTGTAATAAGGTTTTCACCATAACTAAATTGGTGGTATTGGGTTGTCACCTGCTGTTGGGGAATCACTAGTTGATGCTGAGGCATTCAGAAAATACTTGGTGAAGATATTTTCGTATGCTTCCCCTCCTCCTCTCTTTAGCATCATGTTTTGTGTTATAAAATTAAGCTATAGTTAATACCATCTATTATTTTGAATAACATTCATTGGCTAACAATAAAGAGAATACAGTTGATTTTTGCGAAGTTCACTGTGGTTATTTAATCTATCATTCCTGACAAAAATTGCAATTTTCTTAGGTCTAAGGAAAAATTTCAGGAAAACATGTGATCCATGTACTTTGATAGTAATACAATAAAATATAAGACACTAAGGAGGGAGAAGGACATTGAATTGCAATGACAGTAATCATTTTGGAATGAACAAAAAGCTGAGCTAAATGTTTAAAATTTATTTTATTTCTGAGTTTCATAAACTAACCTGAGAAAGTATATGTAGATAAGTTTAAATTTGGTGCATGTTGGTATCTGATCCATATTTGCTACATACAGGGTTGCATAAATAGGGTAAAATTTCAGTGCCTGAACCAATACAGGTTTAAGAAGAAATTCATTTCAATCTCAGTATTATACATAAAAAGGAACTCTATTTTTAATTTCAAAGCTAATTTAGTTTTGTGAAACTCACAATATCATAAAGTTTCTTTTACATCGAAACTGATTTGTGCTTAGCAGTATAACCTGCTTGAAAATAATTTGTATTACAAAGTTCCTACGGTCATAAAATTTTAGATATTCCATGCAGATGAATTGACCTTATACTTCAGTTTTGTAAGTTGATGAGTGTTGACTTAGGACAAATCATGCTATGAAGGTTTTTGGATGATCTTAAGCAGATGGGCTGAAATTAGATAGTTTACAGGATGACTATGAGGCTAAAATGGCTTCTGAGCTTTCTGAAGGAATGCTGACATTTTTGTTAGGAACTCTTACCAGGATTTCACATATACATAGGTTGTGCCCACACAATAGACTTGTCTTGGTTAGGCAGTCATAATATATTATGTATTGGATTTAAATTTGCTGTAAAGACACTTGGCAATTCACAACCATTAAAAAGAACAGTGCAATAAAATGTCCATGGTATGATTTAAATCATTAACTAAAAACAAGAAAACAAAGTCCATCCATGTCCACCAAAAATTGTTGGAACCAGGAAGATTCCAAAATCATGGACATTATATCTCTCAGAGGTACTGCTGCTCTGTCAAGGCCCAGCACCAGAGCTGTCAGAGCATCTCAGTGAACAAAAGAGTAACTGTCTTGCTTGGGTTCAACTTCAGCTTGTTTCATTCCACCTAGATCTTAACAGCCACCAAATTCTGGGTTACTGCATATCTAGAACTGTTGAATGTTAGCCTTACTTT